TGGATAGTGATAGCTGACTTTTATGTAGTTCTTTAAGGCTTGCAGAATGTTTCATCTCATTTGAAACTCACTGCAGCTCTGGGAAGCAAGTGTTAATATCCTTTTAGTAAACTGAGGCCTGAGAAAGGTTAAGTAATGGAAAGTGTAGGTCACTTAAGTAAGCCTGTTAATCTTGCATGAAGATGATAGATCAAGACTTTAAACAACTTTTTTAATGCAATGCTTTTCCCTTGGGAGAGGAGGGAGCTCATTCTAAAGTAAATGGAATTTGCAGGACAGAGAGTGTAAAGCAAGATTTGTCAGGTCTTCTGTAGATGTGTTTTATGCCAGTGTTATGGAAGCAACAGTCACTTTTCTTTCCTCTCCTGATTGTGAGTTTTAAAAATGACATGACAAAAAAAATTCCATAATTTATATTTTAAGTATGGAATTTTAAGTATATCTAGTATAAAATATTAAGTATATAATATTTTAAATATTTTAAGTATGTAGTTGGAAATGTCACAGATTGTGTGGATATAGGAAAAGGAATGAAAGACTAATTGAAGAGTTAAGTTTAAGCATCATTTTTAAAGCCAAGGGGAGGATCCGATGCCAGTCTTGGGGTTGATGTCTTTACAATGACAGACTGTAGTTGCTTATTAAAGCCTGAATTGTATTATTTGTTGTCTTTGGGCAGCTGAAGCTTTGGTATCTTAATATTTGCTACTAATAGACAATTTCAATACTGTATACCTCAGTATGTCATTTACCATGATTTATGTTCATTTTGGCTTGATGGTGTAAAATGGTCATTAATCACTGATTATGAGCTGTCTGCAGGGTAGACTTAAAGCAGTGTTTCAACTAGAAAAAATTCCAGTGCATGTTGATGAGTGTGTTGGAACATTTGACCAGTCTTGTCAAGAGTCTGACAATTAAAAAAGGCTGTCATTCTTAAAACTATACGTGATTATACCTGTACATGTAAGATGTTAGATTTGCACTTGCTATTTTGTTATTCCTGGAGCACCTTTGCTTGACATTTTCTATTTGAAGAAAATAATGGCACATAAATGAACTTGGGGCCTGAAAGAAATTAAACCAAACTTTTAAATGGCGTTATAGGCAAATGTAATTTCCTTTAAAAAAAAAAAAGAAATTGTAAATGTTAGCATTATATTGCTATTGCCAAGTCTACTGGTGCTCACTCCTGTAGTCGTTGTACCATTATGGTTAAAATGGGATTATGGCGTTGAAGATTTCCTGGGCCAAAAGAAAAAGGTTTGTAGGGTCCTTGTGTGTTTATGTGTGTGTTTGTGTTCACTCGTAAACACAGGCACCATTAGCAGTCATCTAATCCATGAAATTGTCTTGAATAGTTTGATAATTGTATTTTAATATAATTGATTTCCTTTGTAACATGTTTTATGCATTGAAAAACATTATTTTTAGAAGAAGATTATTGGTTTCACCAGATAGCAGAAGGGGTCTATAACACATAAAAAATTAAGAATCCTGATCTAGTCCATTCCTCTCTTTTTTATTAATGAGACAACTGAGGCCCAGAGGGATGAAATGACTTTCTTAAGGTTATATAATTTTAATTAAGATTGTTATCTTTTGGACCAAATTCTCAAATCACTTATGCTTATTCTAATTCTTAATTTATGAAGATGGCAAACATCAGGCAAACATGTGATTTTGATTTTGATTTTTTTCTCAGTAACACTAGTGGATTTACACTGATTCATCCATACACCCTCACTCAGCCCCCTTTGTGACCTATTCTGATAGATCCATTTGAATACTCTCTCTCTCTCTCTCTCTCTCTCTCTCTCACTCTCTCACTCTCACTGCCTCGCATTTTCTCACTTCTCTCTTAACTGAGCAAAGGATTCAGATATTGAAAAAAAAAATAGTTTTACAGTTACAGTTTTATAAATAAGCTACAAATAGGTCCTTTTGCCTTTTTTAAAATCTCTTTGGGATACAGACCTAGTAGTGGTTTTGCTGGGTCAAAGGGTATGCACAGCTTTATAGCCCTTTGGACATAATTCCAAGTTGTTCTCCAGAATTTATAAATCAATATGGAGATAATACAACTGATGGACCTGAGGCAGAGAATGTGACTTATCCAAGGTGATACCCCTAGGTGCTGGTTGGTGGGTCTAGGACTACAGCTAAGATCTTTTTCACTCGAAGAAATTGTGAGGCTCAAATAAGAATTTATTGAGAGAAACACAGAGGCACGTAGATGGTTCAGTGGATAGATCACTAGGCCTGGAGTCAGGAAGACCTGAGTTCAAATCTAGCTTCAGACACTTATTAGCTGGGTGACCCTAAACAACTCATTTAACCTCTGCTTTCCTTAGTCCACCAGAGAAGGAAATGGTAAACTACTTGAGTATTTTTTGCCAAGAAAATCCCATGGACAATATTGGCGTGTTATTGTCGACGGGGTCCCAAAGAGTCGGATGTGACTAAACAACAAACTGAGAATGTGGCATATTAGATAGAGAGTTGGCCTCAGTCAAGAAAACCTGGATTTAAATTCTGTCTCTGGAGTACTTCTGGCTATGTAACCCTGCCAGGGCAAGTCACTTAACCTGGCAGTGTCTTTGGCATCTCTTGAAGACTCTTAAGTTATAAAAAAAAAAAAAAATCGCAGGTCTGCATTGGTGTAAGGGGTTTCTCAACCAAAAATTTGTATGTGTGTGTGTGTGTGTGTGTGTGTGTTTGTGTATATATATGTGTGTGTGTGTGTTTGTGTATATATATATATATCTATATAGCGATATATAGATATATGTGTGTGTATTCATATATATGTGTGCATGTATGCATATAAGATACATACATGAATACATACACACATGTATAACCTATGTGACCCGTAAAATGTTGTGCAAAGTGAAGTGGAGCTAGAATGATGATGAAATCATGGTACCAATCCTCTGTGGGCTGAGTTTCACATGAAGACAAGGAAAATTACCCACGCCAGTTCCCTGGCTCTATGAATAGAGTTTGATTTTGCTTATTCAGTGGAGAAGTACCATCAGTACTTTCACAGTGCTCATCTCTAAGGCTTACATTAGTCATTAAGGGATCTTGACTTCCCTAAAAGGGTGAACTCTTTGGAGACATTCCATTCTTTGAGTCCTTTCTGTCATTCAACTTAACAAATTATATCAAGGGTTTATTATATGCTTAGGAAACCATGAGTCTTCAGGGAGTACAAAAGAAATTAAGAAATGGTTCCTGTCTTTAAGGTGCTTATAATCTACTTAAGTATCTATTGATCGACTCACTGGAATATTTGCTCTTGATACAAAGCTAGAAAAGAATTCCACTGATTTCCTTTTTCTAAAAACAAGTAGAATTACTCAAGGAGAAAATTATTGGAGTGAAGGGGCTGGGAGAGCAAGAGTGAGATGGTGAGAAAAACTAATTGTACACCCCTCCTCCCATCTTCTTTCTCTTCCTTTCTGCCTATGAACATCCCAAGTCTCTCCCATCCTTAAAAAAAAAAATCCTTATTATTCTATTCCTTCAAACTGTTTTCTTCCGAAGCTCTTCCTTTTCACAACCAGACTCCTAGAAAGAAAAAAAAAATCTGTCTATGCCTCCACACAGCCTCCTCTCACTCACTTTTCAGCCTCCTGCAGTCTGAATTCTGTCTTCATCATCTGAGTGAGACTGCTCTTTCCAAAGTTACTAGAGAGCTCTTAATTTCCAGATTTAATTTTTTCCCCCCAATCCTAGTCCTCCTTGACTTCTCAGAAGCTTTTAATGCTGTTGACCATTCGATCTTGGATACTCTTTTTGGGGGGGCAGAGGTGGGTAGCATGGGGTTGTGACATTGTTCTCTCTTGGTTTTTCCTCTTAGTTGTTTGGTGGCTTCTCTGTTTCCTTTGCTAGCTCATCATCCAAAATGTACTCCTTAAATATGGGTGAATGCCAAGACTGTCCTTGCCACCTCTGTTTTACCTACCGCTTCTGAGATTGAATACAAGCGCCTCTGTTTGGCAATTAAAGCCTCTTCACAGTCTGCCTCTAGTTTACCTTTCTAGACTCCTTATAAATTCCTTCCCTTCATACACTGGTGCTTTGCCTGAGGTCATAGAACCAAGACTGTTGGCACCAGGTCCATGCCTTTGAGTTGTCCTCACGATGCCTTCACACTCTGGTGCTTACTTCATACACAACAATCCATTTCTCGGCTTTTTGCATAGGCTCTCCCCCATGTTCCCTTTGCCTTTTAGAATTCCTATTTTCCTTCAAAGCCCAGCTCATCTACCACTTTCTCCACGAAGCCTGTCCTGATACCCTCAGTTTCTAGTGTCCTTTCCCCACCCAAAAAAATGACTTCATATTTGTTGTATGTACTTATGTGTATATTTCTCCCCTGATTGAATATAAGTCCCTTAAGGGAAGGGACTATTTCATTTCTGTCTTTGTATTCCTAGTGTCTAGAACAGTGAGTGTTTGAAACGTGTGGGCACTGAGTGTTAATGGTTGTGTGACCTCAGGCAAGTTACTTCATGTATCTGGGTCTTAAGAATTGGACTAGATGCTGTGCAGAGACTTTTTTTTTTATTCTATAGTATTAAATACTTCTCACTTTCCTGATAATCAGAGTAATCTTGGAAGGGAGTGGGAAGGTGGGGAGAAAATTTCCTGATTTGGGGTCAAAACTTAGGGTCCAAGAAGACAGTATCTTTGAATCCTAAATTAACAAAGTCTTTCCTCCATCTAAATGGTAAAATTGTTTTCAGATTGGCAGTTGAGAATATCCATAGGCAGATGTAGATGATTTTTCCTATCTGTCACAACAATACCACCACATATCCGTATAATGTTCTACAGCTTACAAATAATTTTAATATTTTTTGCCATTTATAATTCTGTAAGGTAGGATGGACATGCAGTGTTAACTTCCTCATTTTATTTATTTTTGTCAAACATTTATATACTGCCAGGCACTGTGCTAAGAGCTTTACAAATATCTCATCTGAAAAAAACATTTGGAACGATTCACAAATAACTTGTCATCCTTTTGCAGGGGCCATGCTAATCTTCTTTGTCTAGTTCCAGTTGTACAATACTTGGTGCCAAAGCCAGCACCGTCACCTCCATTTTCAAATGAAGAAATGCAAGGGGCTGAGAGCTTAAGTAGTTTACCTGAGATTACAGAATGAGGTCTGTTGACACCTATTCCAATGCCTTGGAGCTATCTTACACTGCCTCTGTCAATGTCATGTTGGTTTCCTAAACATAATAAAGGTGGAACTTTTGCCTGAGTTAGCTTATTGGCCAGTTGTGGAAATCAGTTTATGGTTCCCCCACCCTTTTTGGACAGATCTTTTGCCCAAATGGTGTCGTGTACAGGCAGTGAAATAAATTATTGGTGGCGCAGTGAGAAGAGCACGGCCCTTGATTCAGGAGGACCTGAGTTCAAAATTCAGCCTCAGACACGTAACACTTACTAGCTTTGTGACCCTGGGCAAGTCACTTAACCCCATTGCCTAACCCCCCCCCCCAAAAAAAGAAAGAAATTATTAACACTGTATCTGCTGTAGTGTCTACAGAGTCCATTTTTGTCAGGTGTAGACAGTTAAGCTGCATGAGAACAAACTTCATGAGACATCAAGAATGAGCAGCTAGGGATGTCAGGGTACTAATACCATGTTTTTTCATAAACCCTATGAATTATGGCAAGTCAAGTCAACAAGCATTTATTAAGTGCCTGTTATGTGTCAGGAATTGTGCTAAGTGTTCAAGATTGTTGTTCATCCTTCTTTCTCAAAGAGGACCAATGACATCATGAGGGTGATATCTTGACTTGCTGGTGAATTGGATTTAAGTGAGGCAGAGCTGCTTAAAGTCATCAGCCTCACTCTCTCCTCCAAAGTCATTGAAGTCCAGTGGTAGGACAGAAGTCAAGATGAAGACTAGCCATGGCCTTTCTAAATTAAGATCTTTCCCAGGCCTCAGTTTGTCTGAGGCAAGGCCCATTCAGTGAGCAAGGGCTAGGTAAGAATTGAGGCAAGAGATGGCCTAATTTACTATCACAAAAATATCAATGTGGGAGGGAAAGACCCTCAAAGTTTCTGATCAGAGCAGAAAATAATTACTATTCACGCTGATTTTAAGCCATCAAACCTAAACTATGAACCATAGAGGTTTGGATTGGTGGCTGTTATTGACCACTCAATGGAAGCCAGAGTGATTTGGTTTTAAAAGCTCCATTTGAAACACAATGGGCTTTTTTAAAACCTTTTTTTTTCAGAGCTACATTTCAAGAAATCATAAATGAAAATTGCACAGGACAGCTTTTTGAAAGAAAAATGATAATACTAAAAAAGTAAAGTTTTTAAAAAAGTGTTCAGGATACAAAAAAGGGCAGAAGACAGTCCCTACTAAATAAACTTCAGTGATTTGTGGGTCTTATAGTACCTTAGAGGAAGGCATTAGATCATCACAAAAACAATAGCCTTGCATTTGTAACAAATAGCTTGGTATGAGCCACTTGCTTACACATCATCTCAAAGCAATGAACTTCTAAAAAATCTTCTTTCTCTCTCTCTTTTTTTTTTTTTAGGCAGTCGGGGTTAAGTGACTTGCCCAAGGTCACACAGCTAGTCCGTGTCAAGTGTTTGATCTGAGGCCGGATTTGAACTGAGGTCCTCCTGACTTCAGGGCCGGTGCTCTATCAAAAATCCTCTCTCTTGAGTTGTGCAACTTGTCCACATTTTCATACCCTACCCCAGGTGTAGACCAGTTGTTATTAAACCAAGAGAAGGTGGAAGAATGAGGCTATTATTTTAAGATCTCTGTTTTCTAATTATTCTCCTAAGAGTCTGATTTCTGTTTAAAACCTTTAAATTCTCTTTGACATGTATACTTCCTCTCATTGATAGACCCAAAGAATTTAGAGTTGGAAAGGACCCTAAGGGCTTTGACTAGTTTTGTAAAATTCTAGTGGCCTGTTAGGACAGAGCTCTGAAGAGGCACTGATTGAAAGTTCTTTTGCTAGTTTGAACCCTAATCTAACACATTTTAGCATGATTGTGTCTATAGTTATAAAGACCAGATGGCTGGCCTTGAACAGAAGTGTTCAAAATCTTTTTTGGTCTCAAGACCCGTTTACGGCTCAGATTCTCTCATCTCCCCTCCCCAAAGAACTTTTGTTTATAGGAGTTATATCTATCAATATTTAACCCATTAGAAATTAAAATATCTTAGTATTATTATATCACTGGCCTTGAGTAATGGTTTTAAGACTTGAGTTATGCATAAAACAAAATGGTAATGATAAGTGGAATTGTTTTCTTCTTTGTACTTCTATCTCCAGCTCCTTGCACAGTGTCTGACATATAGTAGGGGCCTTAGGCTCAGGTGACATAGCTTTCTGTGGCCTAAGTACAAAAGTATCCTCCCAGTATGGGAGGATAAAGTAGTCCCTCTTTCTCAGGAATGACAGGTGCGGGCTAAGGCAAGCTGCAGTAAGTGAACTGAGGCTATATCCTTGTTAAGTATCCTTTCCATTTTAGCTGTTATGTGGTTTACAGGTGTCTCATTTCATTGCAATTCAGAACCCTAAGACCAGTCTAGGACACTACCACCTCAGACCTAATGCAGAAATCCCTTCTACAACTTCCCTGGCAGGTGGTCAGTTTGAAATAGGGGTTCACTAGTGATTCAAGGTACGAAGTTTGCAACTGATTTTCAGGGTATCTTCTAATTTATGTGTAAGATAAAATCCAGTCAGTCAATGAAGATGGTTTCATTACTTTTTAAGAAAATTACTAGCTGACCCTGTAGGACAGATACTGTTCCTACCACAATATTCAACTCTCAGGGTTCTATGAATACTTTGGTTAAAAAAAAAAAGAATTATTTTGTAAAGTGAAAATATCAGCCCTTTGATTTTTTTGTTTTATCAGATAAGAAAGTAAAAAGATATTCAGAGTTTTTTTTTGTCAAGGTAAGCATTTATTAAGTACTCCTATGTGCTAGAACACTGTGCTAAACACTGAGGTTGCAGAGAAAGGCAAGAAACTAGTCCCAGTTCTCACAGAGCTCACAGTATAATGGGGGAGACAACCCTGCAGACAAGTAGGTACGAACAAGATATAGACAGGACACATTCAGCATGATCTCGCAGAGCAGAAACTAAGATTAAGGAGGACTGGGACAGCCTTCTTTGTAGAAGATGGGTGAGAATTGAGGGAAGCCAGAAGGCAGACATGAGAAGAAGCAGAATTCTAGGCATGAGGGCAGCCAGTGAAAGCGTTAGGAGTTAGGAGAGAGAGTGTCTAGGCTAATATCACCCGATCACATAGTATATGAAGGGGAGAAAGGTGTAAGAAGACTGGAAAGGCAGGAGGGCACCAATTATGAAGGACTTTAAAAGCCGAACACAGAACTTTATATTTGATCCTGGAACCACTAGAGTTTACTGAATGGGGTTGGAGGTAGGGATGACATGGTCAGACTTGTGCTTTAAGAAGGTCAATTTAATAACTCTGAATGGAGGATGGACTGGAATGGGGAGAGACTTGAGGTAAGAAGACCAACTGGAAGACTGTTTAATAACCTAGGTGTGAGGTGATGGTTTGCACCAGAGCATCAGAGGAGAAGGGGGAGAGGATGAGGTATGTTACCAAGGTGCAAACTACAGGATTTGGTAAGTGATTGGATATGGGTACTTGAATGTTTTTCTTCAATTTTTGAAGAGTTGGCTTCTGACTCCTCGAAAGGTGTAGAGAGTTTAAAATTTTGGAAAGGAACTTGGAGAGGTAAGTAACTATATGCATACTTGTTGGTTTCAACTTCAGTGTCTATAGATTAACATGAGACATTTATTGGGGCCTTCTCTTCTAGCGTCATTGGAGTTATTGCCTGTAGCCGTCATCCCAATACCCAGAACACTCTCCCTCTGTGGTAACATCTCAAGGATAGCCTTCCCTTAAAGATATAGCTCAGCTATCATCTTCCTCACCCTCCCAATTATTAGGGTTTTCCTAACTTTACCCAAATTATTTTGCTATATGTTTTGTACTTACTCCTCATGTGTATTTGTTGTTTCCTTCTCAAAAGAATGTAAGCTCCTTCACAATAGAAATGGTTTGATTTTTGTCCATGTATCCACAGTGTCTGACATAGGGTAACTAAGCATTTAAATGCTTTCTGAATTGAATTTTGAATTGTGTACATCTTACATCCTCACATTAGAATATAAGTTTCTCAAAGGTAGTAATGGTTTTTTTCCCCTCTGTTTTATCTCCTGAACCTAAAGTAGTAGATAGTGCTTTGCACATAGTAAGCATTTAGCAAATATTTGGTGAATTGAGTTAAATTTATCTCCCTAGTTTATGACTATTGAAATTCGTCATGGAATTTGACCATCTTCCCATTTTATTAGACTCTTCTTGACCGCCTCTAGCAATTTGAAGTGATCACTTATTCATTATCCTTGTACATGTTCTGTAATTTTTTTTAAAGATTGTAGAAGTCAGCTATGTGCCAAAATTGCATGTAATTAAAGATGGAAGTTTGGAACATTTTTATAAATAGAAGGCAATTTTTTTGCAGTACAGTCTGAAAAATACTGAGTTAGAATATCTTAAAACTGTCAACTCTGAGAGGCCGATTTGGCCTAGAAAATTCATATTAGAGCAAATGATAAAAGCAGGAAAAGGCTTTTCCAGGACAGTTTGGCTTTCACAAACAGAACTCCCATTGTAGGGATGGTGTGTCTGTAAAGCTCTCTGTTCACATGACTACAAAAATATTTGGGACAGAAAGATCTTGAGTGTAATCCTGGGTTACTGAAGGAGTTGATCTGTGTGTTAATGCATTTGGTTGTTCAGAATTATAGGGAGGGTTTAAATAATTTTGCATTGTTGATTTTCATGTCTGGTACATCTTTAAACTTTTCAATTTAAGGATTTGGTGCGGAAGTTTCTGTTAAAACCCTGTTTAATATTCCCAGACCACTGTTCCTTTTCTCTTTCCCATAAATAGTTGCCAAGAGCGCTCTATTTCTCTTGTAATTCCTTTCCTTCATATCAGTCTTCCTTAGTAGCCTTGTATAATTTAGTTCTTCAGAGGGATGT